TCAATTGACTGTGCTAAGATTCAGAGGAGAGTGTTGGTGTATGAAAATAAATAGCTGAACAAGTTTTTCGTCTGAGATTAGAGAGAACACTGATTAGAATCAGCTATTTACGACCAGAAATATAGTCTCAAGATTCGTCTTAAAAAGGGAGTAAGAAAGTCAGTCCGACTGGCAAGGAGCTATTCGTGAGCTATTCAGTATGATTATGATGCCCTACCCTTATACAATTGGGAGTCACGTGGACTTAGACCTCATCGATGTTTTCGTACGATGTATTTTTTTGTAGTAGTGTTGTCTTTTTTATTCAACTGGCCAACTTACACATCTTTTTTTATTCAAAAGTTTAAATTTTTTTTTAGCTTTTGGTGCAGCGAAAAGCAACTCGTTTATAAACCTTAATTATTAGCAAGCAAGTATCTTTTATTTTAGGTCTGCTCATTATTTATTAATCCTATGTATAATTATTTAGCAAAAAATTTGCATTATTTCAATTTTTGTCTTAAAAAATCCTTACTAATTAAAATATTAAATTTGAGTTAAATTTTGTTATCAAAGAAACTAACTACCTGTATACTTGCTATTTGCTTCATTCTAAGCCACATTTGCTTCTGGGTTAATTCTAATAACTATGTACGCGCATAGAATACTCACTCATATGTTTGCTTATCCACATTTGCACATTCATGCATACACACACATGTTAATGTTTAATTATAGTCATAATAGCTAACATCAGACAAACTTCTGTCCATATGTACATATGTATGTATGTAGCTTTTCGCAAATACGAAGCACTTTGCACAACATCCCAGCGACATAAAACAGTTAAAATGTACTACTAAATAAAAGCTTTCATGGTGGGTTTTTTTAAAGGACCTTCCCTTCAGAAGTAAACAGTATCAGAATCATGTCCTTTGTGGGCAGACGAGAAAAAGTTTTTCCAAAGCAACACAAGTCAAACAGAGGAAACAATCATTGTTGGTGAGTGGCTCGTGCAAAGCTAATTTTTTTACCGCTAAGAAAATCGGACTCAAAAGCCCCAAAACTTTGGGTATTCCCAACAAAAAGATCAGAGAATCAAGCACGGAAGGTCTATCGCTTCAAAACATCAGAAAGAAAAAGAGCTTCTAACTTTACCGGCTGGGATAAGTACTCGTATTGTGCTCTGTGTGATGGTGTGCATTGGCTACACTTAAGCATTGAATGGATGACTTGTAGCAGCTGCTTTTGCCACTTCATGACATAATTGGCCATATTTAGAAAGCAATGATAAGTAGCAACAATATGGAAAAATTGTTTAAGCAGAAAAGTTGCGGCAATTTCATAGTTTTGTCATTAGTATGTTAAGTTTGGAAATAAAGTGAAACGAAACTTTTTAGCTTGAACACAAATTGAGTAGAGCAATTAAAGTAAAATGACTTTAAATATGTTGACAGCTTTAAAAAGTTGATATAGAAAAACTGCTGTTACCTGATTGTTGTGGGAAATCACGCAGGTTTTATTATTAACATCACTAATGGCTATATATTTTCACCTCGTCGCTTGGCGCGCAATATAAGATTGTCTGAAATTTACACGAAAGGGCAAATAAGCTAATTATTTTTTTTGATTCAAAACTTTTGAATGGTTTTCTAACTAAACTTACTAATATGAGCTTCTATTATAACTGCTCACCATTAACATTGTGAAGTGTGCAAGCATTACGTGTCAATCGATGATTTGTAACTTCATGTGATATTACACAATTATTCTTTAACTTGGAAACAGGATATAAATTTTTGGTAACTAAAAAACTGGACATAATTTTTTTATAAACTAAAAATTTTGGTCTTGAAAACTGGACATACATTTTTTCAGTTCATGACTGGACATAATTTTGGCCATATAAAAACTGAACCTACTTTTTTTTATATTTTAAAACAGTACTTATAAAGGCGACACTGAAAACTAAATAAAATCTTGCCATTGATAATTGGTTATAAAATACATATGTCTATGTGAAGGAGATCATTTGCGTCCCTGTTACCATCAATTCTATTTTAAAATCACCATAAATTTATGTACAAGTTTTAAACTAATTGAAATTTATGTCAAGTTTTCGAACAAAGAGAAATTTATTTCCCGTGTTATATAGCCAAAAATTTATGACCACTTTTAAAATTGCCAAAAGTTATGTACAGTTTTTAAGTGACCATAAGTTTTTGTTTATACTTTAAATGAACAAAAATCATGTTAAGTTTGTAGCTTTTTTAAGGATTTAGGCAAATTATCTAAGGGTGGTCCTCAAAATATCAACATCTAATTTTGTATGAGGCACCCTTTTGTTATATAAAAAGAAAACATGCACGAAAATTTAAAATTTTTAAAACAGTTTTTAGAGGTCTGAAAAGGTTGTCGTAAAAATTCGGAAAAAAAAATTTACCTTGATCAGCCATTTTTGGTTAATCGTAGTACTGACTGGTATTAATCGGACTTGTTAGTTTAGTCATGAATGAAACCATACCCCGAGAAGTGCAAAAATAACATCTTTTCAAAGGCTGCCCAAAGAAAAAATTCAAAAAATGCGTTTTGTGTTCAGGAAGTCCTTACGTACCCTCCCCTACATATCAGTTTTTTAGTAATTTTTCAAGATATTATTTAAATCTGTGTCATAGAACTTAGAAAAATTGGGAACATGCTGCACTAATTCCAAAAAAAAAAAACTCAAACAAATGGCAGTCTTTGCTTAGCATTACATGATGAATCCATCTGGTAATAACTATGCATTTTTTTTTTAACATGAAAAAGATTTCAAGTTTTTAAAACTCTGGTAGCGACGCCTAAAAATTATTTTAAAATTTTGCAGTCTTAGGGATGTCTGTATTTTATACTTAGAACAAACTGAAAGAGTGCCCCATAAAAAATTTAGATGTGGATGTTTTTAATAACCACACTAATGTATGTACACAAATCGTCTGCTGACATAATCATTCTAAACTATCCTCAAAAAAGGTGGTGACACTTCATCAAAGTGTACTACATAATTTTTAGTTTTTGTGCAACTCACTTTCAAGCGTTGATAACTGACACATGCGAGTCATTTGAAGTTAACTTAAAAAGCAACTCAACTGACACACTTTTCCGAAATACTAAGAACGTTGCGTTCAGCTATTTTAGAGTGACCATGTCACCGCAAAAATCTGTACAGTTAATGCTGACTGGCAAAACAAAGGCTGAAACTTGCAAATATACTTTACTAGTGCTGGCCGTGTGACGAAAAATCGCAAATTTGTACTTTCATAAGATAGACGAGTAAAAGGTGTTAAAGAAAAGGTAGAAGAAAAAATTGTTCAAGAAATGCTTGCAAAGTTTACTCATGTGCCGTACAGGGGGCAAAGTTCAGATTCTTCTGTAGAGACTCGAAAAATTAAAACTAACTTTTTTTCATCTAATACCCAAAATCGATACTAATATATTCGAAGATATCACATGTAATTTTTTGTCCCGACTGAAGTCGATTAAGGCGTGTCACACAGGGGTCAAAGTTCAGATTACCCTTTGAAGACGTCTTAACCGACTCCAATCGGGACCAAAATTTGTATTCGATATCCTCAACTTCAGTAGTATCGATTTTGGGTATTAAATGAAGAAAATATTTTTAATTTTTTGAGTCTATAGATACCCCTTTGCGACACACCTTAACCACCTCCAATCGAGATCAAAATTTATATTTGATATCTGTGATTGTGGTATTACCGATTTAGGGGGTGAGATTGAAGAAAATAGTTCCTTTGATTTTTTTAAGGACCACCCTAACCTCTATAGACGTTTGCATATATACATTCAGAAGCAGACTTTAAGCAGTTATCCTCCAGCCTACATACCAGTGCTTAAATGTGAGCAGTTGTATGTATGAGTATCTACTCATATTTTGACCATACAAACGCTTAAATATTTCAGAGAGCAAAAAGGCTTACCTGTGCTTGTGCCTTAACATTTTCTACGCAGACTTGATAGAAAGTTGCAGCAGCAAAACATTTACTTTTGCTTAAATTGTTTGCTACTCTCACAAGAAAAAACTCATCGCTCTGTCGCACAGTAGTTAACTAGATTATTTTTAGTCAATTATGACTATAAGTACAAGTATATAATAAAGAAAAATCGGACCTTTCATGTCAGTTAATATATTTTTGCAAAAAAAAATCTTAACCCTTGGAGTAACTTTCTAAATCTTAACCCTTGACGTCCAAGAGATCTAAAGAAGTAACCTTCTAATTTGCGGGCATTAGGGTGGAGCGAAAAAAAATAATTTCGCTTTCGAAATTCTAATCGTGCGGAAAAGTTACGTAACATTGAACCGTATTAAACCATCTTTCATCGAATAATATTTACGGTCGCCCCAAGAGCCTAAATTTTGCAAAAAGTCTCGCAAATTTGGAAAATATGCGTAGCAACGATATTCAAAATCATTGTTGAAAATCCGAAAAGAACACAAAAGACCCCTAATTTGAGAGATTTTTCGAAACTTTAAGGCTCCTTGGGGCGACCGTAAATAGTATCGCATCGGGAAAATGATTTAGCATCGTTGAATGTGACTAAGTTATGTTAAATTTTCCGTACTGTTTGAATTACGAAATCGAAAAATTGATTTTTTTGCTCCACTGCAATGAGATAGTCCATGAGTGTGCCTGAGTGAAAGTAAAGTGAAAAATATTTTGAGCGAAATTTGCTTAAACGAATATACTTTCGTATGTACAGATGAAGCCAATAAGTTGTTTATAAGCGCTTTAAAATACCTAAACATAAATATGCATACATATTTAAATTTGAATTGCAAAACGACAATTTCAAAATTATTGCCTGCAAAAACTGCCAATCACAATTGTGATGTTCATTTAATACTTTATTTAAAATGCTTATATCACCCACATTTTCCATATTCTGAGTTTCATTTGAAATTTCACAATATTTTCAAGTGAATAAAGTTGATTTGTGTTTGTTTTCTATCTATGCCATTGCAGCACAATGACGCATTCGCTTATGACGCTGGACATATCTGGCAATAAAATGCAGCACATACCACTCGAGGCGTTGCAAAAATTGCATTCGCTAACACGGCTTGTAGCGCAAAGGTGAGAAAAATTTGAATATTTGACTTCATTTACATTTGAGAAAATAAGAACTTTGCATTGATATGAAATACACAAACCTTTAGTTTTTCTGAATTGCTTTTATCGTTCTTTGGTTGTTTTGTTTAAGTTTACAAACTATTTTACTACGCTTTACCGGAGCTATCTATCATTTATTGCGGTTTAAATTTTCTGTAAAAATGTAAAAACTTTTTTTTTTAGTTTAAACTTTACTTTCTGTCAAAAGGTACTTACAAACAGCCTAATCGTGTGTTTGTCGTGCAACTGCAACTAAAACCTTGCCCCAGGTAATAAACTTTATTTCGCCGTTGTCAGGTACTCATTGTCATCATAAGAGCACTTAAGACCAAATATTTTGTGGCATAATTTTAGGCGCAGTAATTATGACAATAGTCGTAGGATGAGTTTTTTCATTGGAGTGGGAATTGGGCTGTAGGTCATATTATTACGTGATAGTAGGATTTAACAAATATAATTTTTACATTATTTTTAGCACCAAATGTAATGTAATGTAAAATATTCTTTATAGGCCCAAAATTGTGCTACACATTAGACTTACGTTGACTTAAATCTCATAAGTTAACGCAAAAGTTATTATACTGCTAATAGGTGCTTGATAAGTTCAAATGTTTAAGCCTTCAAAATGTAGTATAGTGTAAAAAATTTCTTGATGAACAAGCAACGTGATCGAGGAACCTGTACTTTGGAGCGAATATTTAAACTCGAAGGCTGGCGTGAGGAAATAAGGAAGCGGCAAAGAGAATCTCTATATTGACATTCGGGCAGTGCAGGGGCTGGAAGCAGCTAGGGGCTGTAGGCTAGTACGCAAGGCTGTGGTGGTGGAAGAACCATATTTATGATAGCAAGCTCACAAAGTAAGAATTTTGATAGCGAAAAGAACGAGCTTCCAGCTGCTATACTGAGAGGGTATTATATTCTGGCATCGCATGGCTTAAAGCTAGGTCTGGCGCAATGAATCAGTAGACAGTGGAACACATCCTCCGTGCGTGTTCAACCCTTAGTAGGCTACGGCTTTGGCTCTCCAGATTCGGTAAAAAATCTACTCTTGCTAGCGAATCTTGAGGCAGACGCCAAAGGAAAGCAGAAAACTTGCTCCAATTTGGCTATATTTTTCAACACAGCTGTTGGTTCAAGGAATAAGCCAAAATACCTTGTCGCAGTATTCGTTTGTAAGGATGTGGACTTTAATAGGTGCTACGAAAGTATGCACGGGCTAGCCAGTCCCACCTTATCTAAACTAAACCAAAAAAATCGCCAAACTAAATGTATCTTTATTGCCATGTAAAAAAACATTTAGGAATCTCTACAACCGTGACTTCCTAATTTATGAACGCAGCTAGACCTTGATAGGCGACAATCTAGTCCCCATTAGAATTTGAATATAAGGCAATCAACTTTTGGGTTATATACCAAGTGGAGCTCCAATACAAATCCCAAGGTCCAATAGTGATTTTCAAGTGTACCGTAAGGGCGCATTTTTTGTCAGAGCACCCCATTTGAGATTGGATATCAAATTGAGTTCAAACTTTATTCAAAACATGGGAAAATTTTTGCATATCCACTTGAATATTAATAATTTCTCAAAAATCGGAAAAAAGTTGGAAAACTCTTAGCAATCTCTGTAGTTCTCTTTCCAACAAGCACCTACCGTAATTATGGCAGGAAAACCTTGGTGGTATTGGATTTAGCAAGGAACATGCAAAATGTATACAAATGTAATTTAGTTTCTAATATGCCGTTTGAGAAGTGCACATAGAAATGTATATATATATAATATTTAGAAGACATATAAAAGATACTTAAAAAATGCTCAAGCGGCTTATATTGCATACTTTTAGGCATTAAAAACAAGAATATAGCATAAGATTTTTCTATGTAAAATCGTTGAACTTCAGTGCTAGACAAAGGGAGTCTTAAAGGAATGTTCAATATTAATATTGTATAGCGCAAAATATAGATATGATTTGCGACCTATATCCTCATTATATCGTAGAGGTTCACAGAGAATATTTAGTTGGTAAACATCAGTTGAAAAGCTCTAATTCTGATATTTCCGATTATTTCATACACTTTGCCAAAAGCAACTATTTTGTGTTTGACGTTAGACTAGCGCTATTTTGCTTTATTAGTTGCCACAGAAAAAACTGTGGAATCAAAAATGGTACTACGTAGTATTCTCCCGAATAATTGAAATCTCTTGAGTTAGCATTTCTTTCCCTTTTGATAATTTTTTTGTTTTGTTTTGTTTAATTTTGCTTTCATTCTTTGCTCAGACTACTCATCATCCATTTGTACAATAGCATTAAAACTTTCTTCAAACTTTAGCTCATATTACCTCTTCATTCCATTAAACAAAAATATATTCAAATACCTTACCCATTCTTTATCAAAATATTTGTCCTCAAAGGAATCACATCACCTCTCTCGAAGGCAACTGGGAGGCTCTCTTCGATTCTCTGCGCTCGTTGCACCTCTCCGGCAACGACATCACCGAGGTGTCTCCTTTTGGTCTTCACGAGAACGGCAATAGCGTGAACGGCGTCGGCGGCGGTAGCGGTCATCCTTCCAGCCTGGCGGCCATCACACGACACGACGAGCTCGGCAGCATGAAAAGTGCGCACAACCATGCGTTAAACATGCTCAACGGACTCAGCGGGTCTGCTGCGGGACATACGTCCAGCACGAGTAATCACATTGCGCCAAGCAAACCTTTCAGTCGCCTACAAAAACTACTCTGGCTGGATCTTTCAAATAATCGCATCTACCACATAGCGCCCAACTTCCTGCCACGCTCGCTGGTCACCATCGATCTGTCGAGCAATCTGCTCACCGTTTTCCCACAACAACTCTTCGAGCATCTACATGGGCTGCGCATCGTATCGCTGCGTGACAATTTGCTGCGTAGCGTGCAAACGAAAGAGTTGCGGTTGGTGCGCATGCGGTTGGAGAAGCTCGACTTGGGCATGAACTTGGTGGAAACGCTGGAATCAGATTGGTTTCAGAACAACTACTCTGACGTGCATGTACGCGCGCTCAATCTGGAAAAGAACTATATACGGCAGCTACCACCGGCGGTGTTCAAGGGCACTGGCATAGCGCATTTAGTGCTGGCTTTCAATGCCATCGAGCGCATACATGTGAATGCCTTTGAGGGCGTTACTGAGACGCTGGAATACTTAGATCTGGAGCGCAATGAGTTGAATGCAGTGCCTGGTGCAATTAGGACGCTGCATAAACTCAAGTATCTGTATCTGGCCTCGAATAATATTTATCAACTCACAAATCTGCCGGAGAACATGGATAATTTGCGCGTGCTCAGCTTGAGCGGCAACAACTTCACGATGATACCAGTGCTGGCGCTGCGTAATTACACGCAGCTGTCTTACCTCAATATGGGCTACAACCTCATTTCAGACATACCTGAGGGCATTTTCGCGGTGGACAATTGGGGCGCAAACCTACAGACGATACTACTGCGTAACAACAAAATCACGCACTTGCATTTGGGCTCTTTCTACGGCTTGGAGCAGATACAGGAAATCAGTTTGAGCTTCAACGACATCAATATCCACCATCCCATGGTATTTGAGAATGTTTCGCGCACACTTAAGATACTGGAACTCTCCTTCGCCGTCTTTCCTGCACGCAGTTTGGAGTCCATCGATCCGCTCGACGCACTACTGCCGCTTTCACAGCTCATGTGGCTGGGTTTGGACAATAATAATCTGAAGATGCTTTCCAACGATTCATTCGCAAATATGCGCGAACTTAGCTATATTAACCTGGCGTTTAACCAACTCAAGCAGCTGCCGCGTGGTCTCTTTCTGCCCGATGTGCACAGCCACCTGGTGGAGATCGATCTCTCGTACAATTCATTGGAAGTCATAGCACGCAATACCTTCCACAGTCTAGGTGACCTGCAGACGCTTAACCTACAATCGAATAAGTTGCAACTGCTGGAGAAGCACGCCTTCTACAATCTGGAATTTCTGCGCTACATCGATTTGTCCTACAACCAACTGGCCAACATCTCCCATGGTGCCTTCACCATACTGCCCAACCTCGCTGCCTTGGATTTGATGCACAACAACCTCGGTTCCCTTTCCCTTAAAATGTTTCATTTCGTCTCGAACACCAGCACACCGCTGCGTTTAAACGTCACCTACAATCAGATTAGCCACTTCGAGGACGAACTCAGTTCGTATATGTACATCTACAATCTGGACATTAGCCACAATGCGATAAGCACGCCGGACAGCTTCGCCAATCTAGCCAATACGCTACGCTTCCTCAACCTCGCGCACAACACCATAGGTGGGCTTGCCAACCACGCATTCGGCGACCTCGAATTCCTCGAAATACTAAATCTCGCACACAACAACATCACTTCGCTGCGGCGCCGAAGTTTTCAGGGTCTGAACAGTCTACAAGAATTGGATCTCGGCTACAATGGTCTCGAACAGCTGCAAGTGGAGCAGTTCTCGAATTTGCGCAAGCTGCGCATACTACGCGTGCGTGGTAATCGTCTGCGCGCCTTGCCACGCGAGGTCTTCATGAATACGCGCCTTGAATACTTTGATATTTCCGAGAATCAGCTATCGGTGTGGCCTGTACCCGCCTTTTCTGATGTCGGCTTTACGCTGCGCAGCATACAGATGGCGCAGAATGCGCTCGAATACCTCGACTCCAGCATGTTTGTGAACTCACAATTCCTCTACGACATCAACTTGGCCTGCAATCGCATTACAGTGCTGCCTGACAACACGTTCACTTTCCTAAACAATCTCACCAACTTGGAGCTGTCGCAGAATCCACTGGTTACCACCAATCTGAAAGAGGTGTTCCTACACACGCCGCGCCTACGGCGTCTCAAAATACGTCGCATGGGCCTCTATGTGCTGCCCCAACTCAGTCTGCCCTATCTATCACACCTCGATGTGAGCGGAAATTACCTGCAGGAGCTCTCATCGCTACACGAAATGCGCCAGCTGCGCCACGTCAATGTGTCGCATAATAAAATTGTCAACGCCAGCAATATTGCCGAACATCTACCGACATCTGTGCGTGTGCTCGATTTGGCGCACAACCCACTGCGGCGCATCAGCGCGCACGACCTCGTTGCGCTACGCCACCTCACCGATCTCAATTTGCTCGACGTCAAGGTAGCCAATCCGTCGGTGTTCATCAAGCTACGTTCGCTACGCAAATTACATCTCACATCGCATCTGAATTTGGGTGAGATTGTGGCGCGTATACCGGGCCTGCAGGAGTTACGTGTGCACTGCATGGAAACAAATATAGGGCCAGAGCTGCTGGCGAAGCTGGTGAATAACACAAAACTACAGCTGTTAGAGTTGTATGGCGGCAATGTGCAGACAATAGCACCGGATGCGCTGGCGGGCTTGGCGCGCAATCAACATTTGCTGGTAAAAATCTCACACACTAAAATATCCGATCTGCCGCCGGGCATTTTTTATACGCTGCGTGCCGTACCGCAGCTGGCTATCGACATTTCGCACAACAAAATCAATGCGCTGGCGGCGGACAGCTTCTACCCGAACAAAACCTACTGGGACACTGTGGGTACACGCAGCATTATGGGCGGACTGGACACGTCACACAATCCGCTCGAGTGCGAGTGCGGCTTGGTGTGGTTCGGTCACTGGCTGAGGCGATGGCTGCGTGAATCGGCGCAAATAAAAGTGATACAGAAGGATGAGATGAAGCGAATGGTGCAGGTGAGCGGAAGACGCATGAACTAATGAAAATTGTTTTATGAGAATTTTTATTATTTACTTGAAATTTATGTATGAACTTTGTTCTCACTTTTTTAATGCTTTTACGTTTCGTTACCCTGCACGAAGTTACCGTTACCCGTACACGTTATGCGCGTAAGCTTCTCGGTTTTAATTTTTTAGCTCTTTTTACTATTTAGTTAGTTGAGTTATTTCAGCACAAATCGAAGCTACTGCTTACTTTACCCTCTTTATCTCTTTCCGCTCTACAGCGCGCGCGCGCCAACACATGTCACGATCCGACAACTGGCCGTCGCCTACCCATATTGGAGATTTTTCCCGAAGACCTGTTGTGCCAAGCGAGCGCGCTTAGCAGTTCGAGTGAACGTCTCTTTCTGCTCTCGTTTGCGGCGATTGCGTTACCGCTCTTCACAATGTCACTTTGATAATTGGAAGCGTAGTAAGAGGCGTGAACTTAGCTGTAGGAAACATACTACTACGAGCGCATAGCTGGAGCGAAGGAACGAGCGCCATGCACTCGTCACATATTTGTAAAGTACTATAAAGAGAGGCACCGTAAGTGTGATGTAGCTGTAAGAGTTGCCATGTAAAAACGATACAAAAAAACTTAAACCAAACCTAACTGGAATGATTATTGCTTTAATTGTTGAAAAGAGTGGAGAAAGAAAACAAAAGTTGTTAGCTGAAAAAATGTAAATTATTGTAAATTTCTTAAAAAAAACTGTTATCTATAGACTATAGTTTTAGCTAATGTAAATCTGATAGACTTAAGAAATAAGTTTATAAATAAAAAAATATTTGAAGCCGTAATTGTTTTTGATTTTGATTTTATATTTGTGTTGAGCGATGGGAAAGAAGAAATAATACTTACGTATATTGTTGAAAAAAGTGTAGATTTTAAATAATTATAGAAAATACGGCGGCATTATACGATAACTGTAAGCGCATTGATTCCTAAAGTAGTAACTTTTTAATAACAACTATGCAAATAGGATAATACATAGTAATAAAATATAAAATATACTAAGTATAGCACTTGGATAGCTTAAATTGTAACAAAACCTATTTATAAAATGCATGAAAAAATGATTGAACTCGTCTAAAACGATTTGGAGAAAGATTGGAGAGAAAGAGAAAAGGTGAAAAAAACAAAAAGATCTACAAATTTATTTCTCTCTTAAGTGAAAGTTATTTCGTTAGAACTTTTCGAATTAAAATTTGCTATTCCATACTTTTTGGATTTTCTGCCAACGCAATTTCAGCTATTATTTTTTAAAGGCATGATATAAAGTTAATCTAAAAAAATAAAGCACTCTTTGGTTCTGGACATTTGGAACAACTTCAACAGAAGCTAGCTGTTTTAGTGCTGGTTATCTAGCTGTAAGGCGTTAAAATGTCAAAATCCTTAGTCAAGGAATTGCACACAATAGGAGAAATTTTCAAAAATTTCGAAAATCTTTTTGCATCAAACCAATTCAAGTTGCGTAGCAAAATTATTAAACTCGTAATTTTTTCAAGCAACCACTTTCTAGCTAAATTGTTTATTAAATTGTCTCGATTTTTTAAACAGCTGGCAACCCTTCCCAAAAATGTTTCACAGTGTACGTGTAATATTGCATACATATACATATAACTATTTGTGTAGTTAAAATAAATTTGAGTTACTAAAAATACGTTTGAACTAAAGCTTTCCTGAATCTCTTAACTTTGGCTTCAACTTAGAAATATCAAACAAAATCGTGTATAATTTATTAAAATCGATGTCTTTAAACAGTTGGCAACCCTCTTCAAAAAAATATTCAGCTAAAACATTCTTAGGCCCTGTTCGTTTGACAACCAAATTGTGATAAATATTTCAATTAACTTCTGAACTAATTTGAACTAAACATTTTAAACAGGTGGAAACCCTGCTACAATAATCTAGATATAAAGACTTTTTAAACTCATTTCGATTAATACCTATCTTTTGACGATTCTTTTAACTTTTAAATAATTTAAATTTAACTCTTTAAACCAGTAAGGCAAACCTCTTCAAAGAGCTCAAAAATATTCCTATTTTTCAAACTAGTTGCTAAGCTCATAGTTTATTTCAGATCAAAAGTAAAATACTTAAATAAAAATCAATGCAAAATTCACTTTTGGTCCTGTTTTAACTTTTTTTAATACTTTATTGCATTTTTTCTGACTTTTTCGGATTCGAGTAGTGATCTCGCCACCGTAGCCGAGTGCTTCGATGTGCCTACTGCCGCTCGGGAGTACATAGTTAAATTTCTGGTCCCAGAAACATCGAAAAAGTTCTTTTCAAATAGCGGTCGCGCCTTGGCAGACAATGGCGAACCTTCGGGTGTACTTGTGCCATAAAAAAACTTCTTCGGGTAACGCTAAAATCCTCGACAGAGTAGGGTTGGAGTACAGTAGCTGTCTCTATCAGGTCACAGAAATTTACTTCTATCGAAATTTCTATGTTCTATTCTATCTATTATCTCTATAGACTCCCAGATCACATCGGTATTTTTCTGGCTGAGTTATATGCAATCGACATGGTGGCAAGGCTGGTGAGCATGATCAACCTAGCTCCATCTAAACTTTCCTTCGTTGTTGACAGTCAAGCGGCTTTCAAATCCTAAGGGTTGGCAACGACTAACTCGATATGTATTAAGGAATGACGAAGATCCCTACCCTGCGATTTCTGTCTTCAGTACTCGAGAGAGTAACCAGGGCAGCCACCAACAGTAGGTGGGAAAATCTGCACACCTGCATGGTATCACGCTCGCCCTGGCCACGGCTCGACGAAGGAAGAACAAGGTTTTCAAAGCCAAACGGAATACTAACGGGTCACTAGATCATTGGACATATGGCTGACAGGTTCGAAGCCCCGCAAAACGATTTCTGTAGAAGCTTCAGAGATGAGGAGGAGATGGAACTCCACCCCTGGGCATTGCAATGCGCCTTTGCAATGCGACTGACTCATTTTCAGTTATAACACTTTGCAAGCAGTTTTTCTCTCAACGAAGAGAGAGACTTTCTCTGATAGACTCATATTATTCTACAGTAGACTAACTACATACATTCCCAATGGTGGCTGTCTCTGCTTAAAAGACAGGCACACTCAGGAGTAAGGAACAGCGGTGGTTTATGTTTACATCTTCAAGCCTTCGGTGGAAATGGAAATCGGTATGTCAGCTACTCATTCCTCCCTTGATGAGAACCATTTGTATAAAAATGCTTAACCTCTGTAAGCCTGGTGAAAAAAAAACCCAAAATTGGACGCTACACTTTCCAGCCTATTAAAGAAAGGATTCTCACTCTATTAGTAAATGTATGCGGTAAATCTATGAACGTATAACTAGAAAAAAAGCAATAGTTGCTTAACTTCAGATATATATTGGTACGACTATATAAATAATAAAAAACGTAAACTTTTTTGATTATAACAATAACATAAACTTCTTTTCTTTGAAAATAACGAAAAAATTAAATTTTAATCGAATTATTTATTCTTATTATTAAAAAGAAATAATATTATTTTAAATTTTTTAGGAAAAAGTAAAGTAATTTTTCGAGCGAGCCTGGTGGGATCTGTGGACGCCCTGCACTCACGCACTGAAAACTAGTTAGGTGGGGATCGCCAGTGCATGAATCGAACTTCAGCTACTAATGATTTGAAACCACGGACGCATCTGTTATAATAGTTGTGATTTATTGAAAATGAGTCGGGCCTCTCAGACCCCACCAGGCACTGCGAAAGTTAAATAGATATCTTAGATCGATGTTATTAGTGGTCATAGTGTATTTGTTTCGAGGCGTTTCCACGGGACTGAATCTCTGTTAGTTGATGTTAATAGACAAGAACTTCTCCAATGACAAGCGAGCACTTTTCTAAATTATTCTGAACAATTTTCCTTAGCTTAAGTGCCCGAAGTAGGTAGTAAATTTGAAACAAACATACGAGACACGTGAGAAAATTACTTAAAAAAACGACCAGATATGTAAGATCTTCGAGTTAAAAGTAAACCTAACTAATTTCTCTATGAACATACATAACTTTGTAACACAGAGTAAGTAAGAGTAAAAATACTAAAAAAAAATATGGAAAAAATGCTACGACTAAAAATATCACTGTAAATAAAATACTGTAAATGTATATTAACATAAATGTGTATATAAATGAAGTGTATTTACTAGTGTCTATAACTCTTATCTATTTAAACACATACCTGCAGACACCTTCACGCACTCGATTATAATATAAAAATGTAGATATACCTTTACTAAAAATAATAAATAAACCGATAAAATAAGGCCAACAATAAATTGACTATAGTTTAGTGGTAGTTTAGCGCAATAAAAAATTAGCAAAAAAATATTTAGACTTCTAGGAGAAAATAATTTGGAAACCTTAGAAGAAATATCAGCACTGTGCAATTGATTAAAATTTATTTTATATGTATAATTTTAGTTAAAGGGCAAATAATTAAGAAATAATACCAAAAAAATGCGTTTATTTATTGGGAGGTATGTATGTATAAAAACATAAATAGTTACAAGAAGCACTTTTTCACTAGCAAAAGACCAGTAGAGAATGCAAGTAAATTTAAGTTAATTAAGTAAACTTTTTTAAATAAAAGGAATGAAACATTTTTTAAACAAGAAACTAAATTAGATTGGTTTACTATCAGATTCCATGCATAGATGTATATTAGGGTGCATCACTCTCTATACAAAAAAAAAAAATAAGAATTGGTACTATTTTCCCATTTTAGTTATATAATTTAATTATATTTAAAACTTCTGCCCAAATATTTCGAAAGAAGATTAAGATTCATGGAAGCTTGGCTGATTTGAAAATATGTATCTCCAAAAAATTTGTTTATTTTTATTGCGTTTTTTTTTTTTGGAACCATAAAATAAATTAATAATTGTTCTAACATTTTTATGCAGACCCTTTAAGCGTGAACTCTTCAATCATTTGAGTTTTTTTTTGAAAAAGAAAAGTTTTACAAAATGACTTTCTTTATACAAAAAAGCTCTATTTTTTGAAGTTTTTTTTTCAAATCAGTAAATCTTAATAGTCTTCGGAAATAAAATAAATTTGATAATGCGCGAGGGAAAACTGCACCGTTTTTTGTGAGGCACCCCAATGTTCAGAATTAATATTGAAATTTTTCAATCAAGAGCTTTCATTTTATATTCGAATATGCCTATACTCTGATTGCTTAAAATTTATATCTACATTTCCGCGGTCCTTAAAAACTTCCAAATATCTGCTAGAAAAGCGCAGAAAATTTTTCTTCACATTAAAGTTGGCTGAATTTTAATTAGATATTTTTTTTACTACTTTCTTTTATAAAATGGACAATCGTGATACTAATTATAATTAAAGAAACTGCAAACTTATAAAATTAAGCCACTACAAATACTAACTAGCGTATATATTACGCGCTTATGTGCATATAAAAATAAACATAAAAAAAAAATAAAAAAAATTATAAAAAATTAAGTAAAAGTGAAAGTAAAATTAAACTTAAAACAAAATTATCAAAGTAAAATATAAAACATTAAATAAGAAACTATAGTAAAAACAACAATAAATTATTATACTGAGGGAAACTAAATTTTAAATATAAATTCAATTTGTTAGAAAAGCGCTTTCACATAGAAATAAAAAGCAGTTGTTCAGCAAAATTAAAGCACCCTAGCACAATGCAGTTGCAATTACTCAATTGCAGTTTGAAAGTGTTAAAGTGTGAAGGGAACTGTAAAACATTTATGCTGAAAATATATATCCACATAAATAGTTAATTTAAATGAACATTATTTAACAATAAGCGAAAACGAAATTCGTTATTTGAATTGAACTGATGCATTTAATATAACAACAACAACAACAACAACAACAGGACCAACAATAGCATATTTGTACATTCATACATATAGAGTTACAAATGAAGGAAACCAATAAAAAAAATTACTTTCTAAAACTAAATCGAAATATTTAACATTTATTAATTGAGGTTGGCCAGAGCGTATGGGTAACATTTTTTATATGAAACATTTTTAAATAAAACATTATATTAGTTAGCTTCAAAAAGTGTATATTCAATTTAAAACCTGTGTACTATTTTCAGTTAAAAGTGTATGACTTTGCTGTTATTTGTATTAATTCATTTTATGTGCATATAATTTCGTAAACTTTTTTCCTGTGGCAGTCACTTAAAAATAAAACAAATTTTTTCTAGAGTCTACAGTAATTAACAAACCACCCTTGACTTCATCAAAAGTAGACGACCCCCATAATCGATTCAATATTTCAAAATTGAGGGATTCTTATCCCGATTCCGAATTGCTGCCTAAACAAACTGGGTAGCGCGAGAAAAAATTCAGCGCACGACACAGTAACTATCAACTGTTTAATCATAGCATGAGCGACTACCTGGGAGGCAGTAAGTGACTATTCTAAGCTTTGCGACACCGATTATCTATGGCCCGCTGTCATTTCAATTTTGATCCAGCTAGGTGTCCCGTAGAAAGCCATTATTAGATAGAAGTTGTTTTGCAGCGCTAAAGCTGTGAATATGTGTCATTATAAGGGTGGTTTCTAAAGAGAATGAGG